GGGCTCTGTGCAGTGACGCTGTTGGAAGCAGAATTTCGAGGTCCACAACTCATAGAGTGGCCCACAAACTGAGATCTAGCACTTGCAAGGTAAGTTTTCTTATGAAAAAAAGTGAAGTAAAAACCCTAAAGTTGCACAAGTTGTTTATAGGCCAAAGAAAAGCCACTATTAACTACACTGCAAAAGAACAATTGGCATAGATGGGCTAAAGAACATAGACAATGGACACCTCAACAATGGTGTGCAATACAATGGAGTGATGAGGCCCGATTCGAAGTTTGTGTTGGTGACAGTCGCAGTAGATTAATTCGCAAAAAAATGAAGCATTCCATGTTGACTGTCTGAAGAGAAAAGTGAAATTTCCAGCATCCATTATGGCCTGGAGCAGTATGTCATCAAAAGGAGTAGGAAAACTTCATTTTATTGATGGAAATGTGGATACAGTCAAATATTTGGCAATTTTAGAAGAATCGCTTTTACCAGTGATGGAAGAATGTTTGACATCCGGCCAAGATTTTGTGTTCCAGCAAGATGGTGCAGCGTGCCATACCTCAAAAAAGACTATAAAATGGATGGAAGAAAAGAATGTACCACTTTTGAAATGGGTTTCTAGCAGTTCAGATCTATCACCTATTGGAACTTTGTGGCACGAGATGAAAAAGGTTCTACGACAACTTCCTGCTCGTACAATCACCGAACTGAGACAAAAACTTCAAGAAATATGGGATTGTTTTACACCAAATTTTTGCCAAAACTTGTTTAACACTATGCCCCAAAGAATTTCAACCGTAATAAAAAATAAAGGTGATGTTACCCAATGGTAATCTTTCAATTGTTGCTTTGTTAACTTCGCGCATTTATTCGCACATTGTTTATTTGTTCTATTAGTTCTAGGTCTAAGTGATTTCATATATGTATTTTTACGACTAGAGTGTATCTAAAATGTTTTTGAGAAAATAAATTGTTTTAGAAGTAAATTGTTTCATCATGTTTAGTTTATGAAGGCATATTTTGGTACAAATCTTTAAGTGGGCCAACTGAAGTGGGAAGGGGCTCGTACTTACTAGAAGAGTCCACCTTCATTGAACGTTCCAGCTTCCTCATCTTTTTCTTCAACTTCTCAAACTCCTTCTTCTGCAATTTACTTTTACGGCTCATTGTTACAATCACTCGATATTTCGCCCGATGAAGAACCGCACGCTTGACTCACTTCACTCATCGCCAGAAGTATAATAATAATAATAATAACGCGTTTATTGCCCAACAGTGATCACCACTTACAGAGCAAAAAGTATAGCTTACATGGTAGTTACAGCACAAAATGTAAAACAGAAAAAACAGAAACAGAAGAAACATGAAAAACTTGACCAAAATCCATCATAGATGGGCACGAGATTTATTCTTTAATTCACAGACACTGCAGTGAAAAATAGCACATGCACTTGAAATTGGCATTTCGGCACATAAAATTGATTGGAGACTTTAGTAGTAAGTTAGTTTGCCCAGGAAAGTCCTGTATTGTCTAGATGTTATTCTAGGAACCAGAATATCTACTTGAGCTAACAATACAGGACAATCTACTTTTCCATGGAAAAGTTTGTGCAAGAAAAGTACAGATAACTGATATCTGCGGCTCTCCAAAGACCGATAATCAAATCTATGTAGCAGCTCAGGATAACTACAGCCTCTTGGTGGATACACACCATCGATTTTAAAAGCTATGAATTTCAAAAATTTCTTTTGTGCTTTTTCAATAGCAACGATATATTGGCTATATGTAGGACTCCATATGAGTGAGCCATATTCCAGTTTAGATCTTACCAGACTGAAATACAGAGATAATGCTGAGGTGTCATTGAAATTCTTGCAATTCCTAACAATAAAACCGTATGTGCGACAAGCACTCAGCGCTATTTGGCTTTCATGAAAAATTTAATGTCAACTGACTATCAAAATAGACACCTAAATCTCTAATGCAATTGGTTCTTGCTAGTATCGAATTCTCAATAGTATACCGATAAGATATAGGCTTGGACTTGCGACTAAATGCTACTACTACTTCGCATTTAGAAATGTTCAAATGCAGATGATTTCTTACACACCAGTTCTGTAGGAAAGTGATTTGTTCCTGTAAGATGATACAGTCTTCTTCACTGGATACTGATATATATATTTTTAAATCATCCGCAAACAATAGCTTATTACAATTAAGTGAATCACAATCATTGATATAAAGTGAGAATAGAAGAGGTCCCAAATTGGATCCCTGCGGTACACCGCTAGTGGCAGTGAATACTTCTCACATTATTTACACATACATATTGTTGTCTATTAGATAAATATGATTTTAATAGCAAGACATAGTTATTTTGTAAACCTAGATGACAAAGTTTCTTGAGGAGAATCTCATGACTGATCTTGTCAAAAGCTTTGGAAAAGTCGGCATACATTAAATAATAATAGCAATAACAACCGCTAAGTTGCTAATACTTGACCGAAACTTCGTGAAACCGGGTTGATAAATAGAAATGCAATTTTTTGCAGACTGGTAGATACGATCATATAATCATATATAATGACCAGGGCTAAAGGACGTAACAGGCTAGGTGGCAGCGATTACGTTTATCCAAACACTAGCGCACTCACAGCGTTAAGAGGTATACTACATAGTGGTTCTATTTGGATGTGACCAATCGAAGTATAATCATTTAATTTTCAATAGAGGAATATATTTTTGCCCAATATGGTGGGTGGTTATGTATAATCATGGCATCGCCCATGTTGTCTTTGGTTTATTAGAATATTTTGGTGTTGTCTGTAGGTGTTATACAACAATTTGACAAATCTCTGAAATGAAATACGGACAGTCGAATGATTTACCCAGAATTTGTACCAGATCTATATCTTTTGCTTGAACAGTTGAGAAAACCTTTTAAACTAATATGCATGCGTTGTGTCTTAAAATATTGGTTATGGCATTTTAACTAAAAAGATGACAGCAGAAAGTTAGGTTAAGGTGAAGTTGCATACCAACATATTTAGCCACAAATGTACGCCGAGCACAGCAATTTTGTATTATAAAAGATGTAATACTGTTGAAGATGTGCAGCCTTTAACAGTTAGTAAACGACAGTTGTATAAGTGTTTCCGTAGGTAGTAATTTTTTTGCTAAAATAGTGAATTTGCAACCCAAAACAACATGTCTCGGGTTTGTGTATAAACCTTACCATGGATGCCACAACACAACTATTTTGACTACCGCGCAAATATGCCTTATAAAATAGTTGTATAAATGTTTATGCAACAGCTCAAAATTTGTCCTATAAGGCGTTGTATGACTATGCTATGAGAAGATTTTAAATACCTCATTTTAGAGTAAATATGCTGCTGAAAGCAAATTTGCATTCCACACAACATTAAGCTAGTATTTTGGTGTTCAAGCAACAACAATAGAAAGCTTTTACGGCTGAACAGTTCTTTATAGCACTACTTTGCTAGTTGGGAGCGTCGTCTGTTGGTGGCGATTTGAAATAAATGTGACTTGAGCGCCAGAGTGTGTGCGAGCCACATCAAGCGGAGCAAAACATTACTTGGCGGGCACAGCTTAGTGACGTATGTAAATTTATTTCGGTAATTTGTGGGTTAGTCGGTCATTAGCATGGGGAGTCAACTCATATGGAAGAATGGGGAATAGTGCGGTGTTGCTGGATCATAACCTGACAACACTGTGGCATCCAGAAAAAGTGGTGGCTTTGACAAGTATGGCAATTTATTGCTGTATTTTTAGTTAACCTCTTTTATTTGTGTCTGAATGGCTGGATAGACTCGAATGTAGATTTTAGTAGCCACACATTTTGATTAAATCCGTTCTTAAAGGGTGGGCCATCAGTTGTTTTTTAAGTTGGTATTATTTGGACAGTTGGTACCACTTCCATACTCAATTATTGACAGATATATTGTGTCAAACTTCCGCTGTGAGCAATAGATCGTTTTAATCTTGAACAAAGGTGAGAAATATTGGTAAACTATTTTGCTTGTGTGTTGCAGAAGCTTTCAGAAAATTGAGAAGACTATTTGGTCGGAATGAAGCTCCGTCCGCGACTGGTATACGAAAATTCGTGAAGAAGGTTTGTGAAACTGGCTCTGCTTGTGAATAACGGAAGGTATTAGCGTGTTCGACCCTTACGTGTAGCCGAAAACATTGCTGCTGTTGCCCAGAGTGTGCGTGAAAACGCAAAAATGTCAACTCGTCACAGAGCACAACAAGTGGGCATCAGTCGCACTTCTGTGCAGGGAATATTGCATAAAGACCTGAGATTATTTCCTTACAAGGTGCAACTTGTTCAAGAATTGAAACAAAATGACCATCCGCTTCGATATCGTTTCTCTGTGTGGGCGCTAAATCAATTGGAAACGGACCTCAATGGTGGTCGCCAAATCATCTTTTCGGACGAAGCCAATTTCCATCTGGGAGGTTACGTTAACAAGCAAAGCTGTAGGATTTGGGGATCTGAAAGGCCACATGCCATAGCGTTATAAAATCTTCCATATATCATTAAAAATGTGCACTATAAAACTATATGTACAAGTCTCAGATTTATGCAAAGAGCCGGCAACGTCGCATTCGGCGTTCGTGCACAATCTGGTAACCATGTGGCATCTAGAAAAAATGGCGATCGGCACTGACATAAATAAACCATGTTGCCCTATGATAGCACCTAACTTAACGTTCTTTAGTGTATATGTTTTATGGTCAGTAGCTCATTAGCAGTGCGGTAACGCAATCGGTCACACGTTGACACGATCTTTGGTGATCCCGTCATAGGTCTTAGCCTTAGGCCATTGGAGGAGGGAGGAGAGAAAAACGAAATATGGCGTAACATGAGAGAGGGATTTTGCTTTAAAATCTTGTGGCTGGTAGCACGACAGGGCGGACTACAATGTGAAATAATAAACATCTTTAGACGCCGAAGTATAAATGAAATACCAAAGTAAACAACTTATATAATGTTTCCCCGCGCATAAGAGTCACCCTTCTGCGGGTTTTTCATTTATTTGTCGTCTATTTATTTTTTATGTGTAGTAGTGTATTTTGGAGACAAATAAATATTAATATTATACTATAAATGATTTAAATTACATAATAAAAGGTTTCAGCATAAACGTAGCATCCATGGACTTCTTTCCGTGGCCCAAATAAACGAATCCGTATCTGGGAGTTCTCAAATTATGGAAAAAAACAAAACCGGGCCAATAAATAGATTTCAGGATTACACATTCCTCGCCCTGAGTTATCTGGATCATCCAGCATCCTTCCGGTATATCTGTATCCAACGGGTCTAGGAAATCCATCGCATAGTTGTAGTCACCTCTTGTTAGCAGATTGATATTCCATCTTCTAGTAGGTACCCTGCGATATGAAAAATCTTTGTAGTAATATGATCGGCATCTGTATTATGTAAAATGATCGCTAGGATAGCGATCTAATCGCTATACTTATCACTTGTGTACCAGCCAGTCGCTAGCCCACGGCACGCGTACTCGCTGTGAACTCCACCTATGGATAAACGACCTATAGTCTCAGCACATAAATGCTATGAATATCCTCCGCTAGTGCCACCTCCAAAGCAGACGTTACATCATATCAGAACCGAATCACAAAGCTCAAGTGTATTGCGCTTATGCAACACACTGTAAGCTAGATCACAATCCCTGTCTCTTTACAATTACACAGTAAGGTCGCGGCACATTATTATGTAAAAGATGCAACCGTTGCACTACGCAAGAATAAATGGTAATCATTACAAAATCTGGGGCAAGTTCCTTACTAAATGAAATAAGATCTCACCTGTAATGAAGAAAGGACCCAATCTCTCTAGCGTCCAATGTACTCAGTCCCTCGAAGCTCAAATTCTCTACAATAACTCCGTCTGGTCTATGGAACAACGCTCCCCTAGGTACCACACCAGCTTCCTTGGTAATGAGAAAGATCGTTGTTGCCAATCGATCCTCCTCTTTCAGTTTTCGAGTTTCCGCTTGTTTTCTTTTGCCGGGTACCAATGCTTCGTCTTTCTCAATGAGAACGTCGATCACTTAAAGTAAAATGAAGTCTCAGATGAGTATGCAGTAAGTAAGAGAAATCCTAATCAAAACCAACGATTTAAACATTATCTTTGCGATATGCAGAATACCTCGGAAGGGATAAATGCAAGCATAATGAGATTTATGTGATGACAAGCTCCGCTGGAACTGCAGTCGAAAGGTGCGAAAGTCAACAGATAGGGCCGAATACGCTTCGGAGACTGAGGCAAAAAATAAATTTTCAAGAAATATATGAATGTGAGACGGGTGAAGAAAGGTGATAATGAGTTAAAGGTGGCAGAAAAAAAAGGAATGTGCTGCTAAAGAGCTTTTGACGCAAGTCGAATTTATTTTAATCACCGAAATTGTGGCCAAGGCAACAGAAAGGACTGTTAAAATCATAGTACGTGACCTTGCAAAAACCATAGATAAGGAACAAAGTGTTGCAGGTCTACAAGTCTTCGAACCAAGGGCTTGGACGTATGCTACTGGAGCAGCAGCGGATTAAAATTGGATGGAGCATGTGCAGAATAACTGAAAAAGTGTCTCCGGCGAGATGCTACAAGTGTCAGCTCTTTGGCCACACTGCATACCACTGTAAGGCAAAGGAGAGCCAAAGGCAGAAATGCCTTAAATGTGGAGACGACAAGCACGTTGCAAAAGACTGCACCAATGATATGAAGTGCTACATGTGCGGTGAAAAGGGGGATTCCACATGCAGTACGGCCTGCGCGAAATACAGGGAGGTAGTGAAGTAGCTTCGTTTCACTACTAAACAACAAGCAGCTGACACAGCTGTGACAAAACAAGCGACACCTATAACGATTACGAAGGAAACTGATGAGCCTGCTTTATCTCGCCCTCAGGTTAATAATACTTAGGATGGGGGTTTTCAGGAGGTCAGAAAGAGAAAAAGATAGGCGAACGGATATCAGCGATACTCCCACAACACCAAAATAAAGATAATAACAAGCAAACTTAAACAGGTGCAGAGCGGCACACGATTTGCTGGATCAGTTCGCAAAAGAAAATTCAATTGACGTTTCTCTGGTGTCGGAGGCGAATAAAAAGATAATAGAAAGAGGTCCATGGAAATAAGATGTAGACGAAGACAATATACAACCAAACAGCTGAAGCATCTATTAAGGTAATGCATTAAAAAAAACTCTTATGGACCATAGTATAAAGCAGTACTTGATTGGGGGAGATTTCAATTCGTAGTCGACAACTTGGGGTTCTCGGATTACTGACAAAAGAGGAGAGCTCCTTGGAGAAATTCTTGCAGCAAGGGGCTTTGTCAAAGGAAACAATGGAGGCGAGTCAACTTTTGGCAGAGAAAGCCAAACATCCTATTTCGACATTACTTTTTATAGTGAGAACCTGGTAAACTCAAAAACTGGAAAGTATTCGATGATGAAAACATGAGCGACCATAAATATATTTGAAATTACAAGTATCAAACATGAAATACCACAGACACATAATATCCGCAGGTGGAAAATAAATGGAGCTAAATTAAAAGAATTACCCGGAAATCTGCAGTTAGCCCTATGGAACACAAAACTGGATGATTTCAACGGCAAAGTTCAACTGCTCGAAGATGTAGTCATATCAGCCTGTAACAAGACCGTCGGCGTGGTCCACAAAATGGTAAGGGGAGCAAAGTTTTGGTGGAATAATGAAATAGCACAAATATAGCACGTTTGGGGTCAAGCATCCAAGATGCCATGAAAAAGCTAAAACTCACAGACAGGCCATACCTGGACACTGAACAGCAAATAAGAATTGCAGAGACATTGTTCCCAAAGAGCTCACACACCGAGTGGACATTTGAGGAAACTCTGGACATACCAGAGTTCACAGGTAAGACACCAGGACTAGATGAAATACTAAATGAGATCGTGAAAGCACTGGCTTTATGAAGGGAGTCTTTCCGAAGAGGTAGAACGATGCTAGCTTGGTACTCATCCTTAAGCCTCAGAAACCCACCGATAGAGAAATCAAATATAGACCTCCGTATATGTCGAGTTCACATGGAAAGCTACTAGAACGACTGATAGAAGGAAGGCTAAGAAAATACGTCAAGGAAAAGATCGTGCTATCTCTCTTGCAATATGGTTTCAGAATGGTAAAGTCTGCCATAGATGCACTTAGTAAGAATGCCTTTAACACAGCACAATGGTAGTAAATCGTCGAATTTCTCGATAAGTTACACACCCCTAGCTATCTATTAAACATGATAAAGAGCAATTTTGTCAAGGGGGCACTTATGGTAGGACAAAAAACGATAAAGGTAACCATGGAAGTGCTTCGTCCTAGGGTCGTTGCTTCGGAACGTGCCCTACGATGGTGTACTTCCATTACAGATGCTGCTGGGAATTCGCTTGGTACGGTATCGTGATGACCTGGCGATGATAGTGACTAGTAAGGAGAGAGTATACACTTGAAGGACTCTCGGCCTACGCAATCACGAGAATTTCCATATGGACGGAAGAAAATGGCTTACAGTTGGCTCTGGAGAAGACGGAAGTAGTCATACTTTCTGGCAGAAGCTAACTCCACTAGCTGTCTGCGCTCTATAAAAAGGGCGTCTAAGCTACAAGCGACGAAAGACAGGCGCTTTTTGTCAGATGGCAGGAGAGATACGATGCAACTGACCATGGTGCATGGACAAGAAGTCTGATTCGAGATATTTAAACTTGGATTGACAAGAGAGTGGTTAGGATAGATTACTATACCCCACATTTGCTCACACGACATGTTTCGACATCTGCCTGAAGAAGGTAGGGAAGAGAGTACGCAAATTGCGTATATTTCAATGAAGAGAAGTATACTTCTAATCACCTACTCCAATGTGGTGGACTACCAGATACAGCTAGAACTGATGGTCGGCAAGAGGCTCACTGCTGACAATTTTGCTCTGCATACACGCGAGGGAAAATGGGTTGATATGCAAACAACATTGAGGCGAATGATGCTGAGTAAAATACACCAAAAGGAACCAATAGAAGGTTCCTATTCTTCTAGACTCTATATAAGCTTGATTTCGTATTAAGAAATTGTGACCTTAATAATTTTATTTAAAGTATTTCATTCCTGTTGGAGCCTAATAAAATATTATTGAAATGGCATTGCTTTGAAAAGGAAGATTACCTTTGCTTTATGCCTAATACAAAAATAGTACTATGTAAAAAAATGTATATACTGTTGATGAAATGAGTAACTTAACAGTAACTTGATAAACATAAAAACCGAATGTCAGCTCACTTAATTTTATAAGCTTCCTCTGTGACTCCAACAGGTACCTAATTTGTATTATCGCTGTGAAAACTTCGGATGTATTTCATTATTGTTGGTTACTAATTTACACATCTAAGATATATGTTATCAAAAACGATCTGCTACAATCCGACAGTCTTTCTGAAATTTTATCAAAATGATATTAAAAAAAGTATAAAGAATCATACGTATTCCGCTCGTTTCCAAAGGATCTCCAAAAGAATTTATCAATCCTGGCGGTCCTAATAAGGATAATGACAAATTGTTATCAAATCATTGCATTGTCATCGGTCTTTGATACGTGTGCGAAGTTTCAAATTAATCAAAGAAAGTTATGCTCAAAGATTCCGATACATACATACAGGCCAAGCTAGTATAAGCATATTAAAAAAAACGGGACCCTTCGTTTTTCGCATAAAAATAACATATATCTTTCGAAATGGTTTGTGATTCATATCGGCAGGGTAAACTCGTATATTTTGCTATTAAATGCCCTTTAAACGAACCCTGCATATTGCTCAATGAACTAGTAGTGATCGCAGGAAAACAGGTGTTTTGGAATAAACCATTCTAAATTCTCAATAACTATGTGACTAATCTACTCCAATTTTGTTTTGATCATTTAGAAGTATTAAGCCACACAAACTAAGAAATTCGAGATATATATATATATATATATATATAGGTGAAAAATTAAAGTTTCCGCCTTTTGTTGGGTACTTCGAAAAAATTTAAGCAAAGAGGACTCTTTATACTTTTTTAATTCTCTCTAGCTTTCAATGGACTTTGCCATCATCATCAGGAGAGTAGTATGTGAGGATGTTGCTAATTGTTGTTTACGTATAGGATGAGGGAAACGCCCAGTAACATGGTGAAAGCTGGATAGATGGTACAATGGTCAAAATTATATAAAATATGACAAGAACAAGTTAAAAATAGATTAAAAATTTTTTCTTAATTTTTTTATTTTTTTTAACTTGTTCTGGAAATACTACGAATGTTGTTGTGTAGAATCTTAACATTGCGAGAGTTCTCATTGATACCTAAAACTGAATTTAATTGTTCGCAATCTTGTGTATATTATGTGTGTATTTTTTCAACCTCAAAATCTTGAATATATTGGTTCATATTAAAATTACCAGAAAAAACTGAAATTCAACCCCTGGCGGTGTGCAGTAGGTACTATATAAAACACTAACGACTAATAGTGGAAATAAAGATAAAAATGACAAGATTGGGTAGGATATAAAGATAAAATATAAAGAAAGATTTGTGAAGCGTTCACATTTACTCATAACTTAGTTCTTGGTTGAACGCGTTCTAGATTTGCTGCCGAAACTGTTTGCATAATAACTTCTTTGCCGGTTAAACCACCAAAAAACAAGCCTCTTGAATTTTTAAGGAATAAAAAAGGCAGGGGTTAGTTTAAAACATGAATTCATTTTCAAGTACATAATTTTTTTCTTTTTGTGCTTATCAATCATCCAAAGGTTGCCTGCGCTGTAAGTAGTTGATAACAAATGCAAACAACCTCATCAGTTAGGAACCCCAGTCCATACTGTGCTCTGTAAGAAATATCCAATTATCGCACTCACCAAAAAATCATAAGGGTTTGATATTACCAGCTTTTATAATGGTCACTATCTTACTTAAATTGACCTATCTCCTTCTACACACTCCACGGTGCAACCTGGCGCCGGTACTTAAAGCAATACTCCAAGTTTTTTGCTACTTACCTAGAGATGGATCCCCCTGGAACTTCGTCGTACATATTGGTGTCAAAAGAAGCCCGTTTTTAGTAGGTTTGGGTAATAACCCCCAATCGACACAGTTTGTACTATAATAAAACACTCTCCCATATAAGATGTCTCTGGTATATCCAAAAGCAACGTAATAATCCTTCTCACATCCTAGTATCTTGCCCCAAAAGAACACCCTACGAAAATGGTTCTCATTCTGCAGGATAAGCAGCGAATTGTGGAGTACGATGCTTTCTTCTGTGCTGATTATGTGACCGAAGTGCCCGCATGTATCTAGAGTATGTAGAATATGTTCCAGGTTCATATTTGATAATGGCTGACTGCGTTTGTGTCATTTTGAAGGGAAGTCCTACCAGACAAGTGAATACAGAGCGTGGGAAAGTATCAGCCTCGAAAATAGCTTCAATTCTAACTTGATCGCATATAAAATATTTGCATTTCAATATTTCAGAAGAATTGTACTTAAATTCAAATCAATGTTGCTTTATTTTACTTCTTGATTGTTCTTTAAATGACCAAGTTTCGTAATTTTGGCATTTTTGTCGAAAATTCACTCATTGTCAAACATTCAACAATATTTTGATATGAGCGCATCATCGCAGCTCTTCCTACTTAAAATCTATAATAAAACTTACTGAGACGCAAACCATAAATAATGACATGAAAATATTCAGCGATTGCACTCGCAATAAGAATGAATGTTGAAACAAACGTATACACAATTGAAAACACAAGTGGATAATGTATCAAAATTATTGTATGGAGAAAATTGAGATTTTAGTGAGACTTTTTACTTATTTGGCATTTTGAATATTTATTTTAATTAGTTTCTTATTATCTTCTTCTTGCAACAAAGTAATCACAGAATGAATAAAACACTCCTTAGCTTAATGCAAAAAATTAAGTTAAAAAAATTTTACCTGACACCTTTATCCACTTGTGACTTCAATTATAACGAGAATTTAGTTTTTATTTCCACTGTGAGCGCAATGACGCAACACTTTCATATGATATGTGTTTTATTATGAGTTAAAAGTCATGCGTCCATGCGCTCGAATAAAAATACCATTAGTCTATAAATATTCTTTCCCTGCCCTGCCAGTAGTGCATCTGGCAACGTCGCCTCTCCCCTAATGCGGATCTCGGCCACGTGGCACCGAACTAGCGAGGCCAGAGCACAGAAAACGCTATGCTGTTGCGCAGCAAAACTACATGTGATTCCATACCAGATCAGTCATCACGGTCGGCGCACCACGCCAGCAGCAGCAGCCGTGGCCGATAGGTACGCGATCCGTCTCAAGAGAATATTTTCAGGGCTAATGTACAGATAAGTCTATGATGTGTGAAATACGTCTAAAGCCGCGTACAGACCAAAAATCCAAAGCCGATCAAACCAGTGCAAGCACATGTAACGTTGGCTTTTGTTGTTGGAATAGTGCCGGATTAGCCACGTAGCAAGAGTAGCAAATGCTACGGGCCCCGCGAATTTGGGGTCCCGCGCTCCAACACCTGTCTGACTGTAATAAAAAAGTGTTAATTTAGATAGCAGCGTAAAATATCCTTGCATGTCTTAAACGCGAAGCGCTTAGGCTATGCTTCACTTCCACTTGAAAATCTAAAACTCGATTTCGTCACGTAAAATCGTAAAAATAAGTAGGAATTAAACGAACTTTTTAACGTTAATGTTCTAATGTTTAATTATAATCGATATATTTAGACTAGCATCTAAACCACATTTCTACCCTTCAAGCGGCCAGATTTTTGTTTTTTTATAAAGGTATACATCGGCTACGTAAACAATTACGTATTCGAGATTCTACTTTTTTAATCGATTTTAATATAATATCGATTATAAGTATTTCGAGAAAACAGGCGAACTATTCAAGGTTTATATAACTCAGTCACCATCCAATCTACTGTGGTTGGTTGATTTATTATAAAATTTGGATTCATTTTATGAGTGAATATAGCTGACCTTTTTTGAATCGATTATCATATCGATCATGTTTCGAGATTATGGAAAGCTAGTGACGGTAAAAAAGCGGGTAATTTAAAAATAAACTATTCAAATTATAAACAAAAAGTTATTCAATAAAAAATTACACATTTTAGGTGTTATATATCTTTACTATAAAATAAGTCATTAAGGTATGCACATTTGGATGTTTTGGATTTTAAACTTCTTTTAAATTACTATAGATAGGTGTAGGTATAATACCTACCACGAGAAACGTTGGTATCAAAATCTACAACAATAATTTTAAATTGTATCACATTTCTAAAATTGAGCGCTGGCCACACAACAAGTTATGTGATGTACTTCTTGCACTGCACTACACGAAAGTCGGCAGCACTGCAAAACTAATAGGGGAATTCCCTGACATTGTCATCGATCGAGTCATAACTCGAACAAATGAAATAGGATTCTATTTACTATCAGACAATAAGAAATTGCTATACATTTACATTTGGCACAACGTAAAAAACTGTTAAAAGCACTTTAGATGTGAGCCATTCTTGAGAAAAGTTGTTTTGACATTGCTTTGAGTACTGTTTTCGTGCGTGATGTAGCGCTGTATGCAACTCATTCAATTACCTTTTTTAAGATACAATAGAAGAGTTTTTGTATGTACAAAGTCAAAAATATCAACGAGAATAACTTTACTCAAGGTAAAATATTTTACTATGTATGTTTTGCATATTACAAATGAATCGCATTTGTCAAGTTGATTTTCTTTAAATTTAAAATAATATTTGTTTGACCGTAGGTAAGATGAGCAGCAGATCTAGAGATACGGGTCGGCACTACGCTTCTGGAAGTGGAAGTGCTAAGCGTAAAGCAAAACATGAAAAGGAAAAAAATAACGATGCTGTTTTATCAAAAACACGTAAGCTGATCGAGTATTTTAATGTTCAAAGTGATGTTGCTGAATCTACAGAAGGTAAATCAGAAAATAGAGAAGTTGCATCTCATTGTACATACATGTATGATAGTGGTACTACTACCGTTTCTGATGAAGCTACATTTTCTATAAGCAATGCTGTAGTTGAAGGGACAGCAATTCCTCCTAATTTAGCTATATCATGTTCTAGCCAAAGAGAAGTTAAAATTACAGCCAGTCCTGTCGATCTAGAGTCACCGTGTTCTAACCAAAAAGTATAGATGGTATATTATTACTTCATGCTAATGCCACTACAGTTTCAAGTCAAAAACGAAACGAAAGTAAAATATACTCCAACGATATTGGTGAATGGCCGAGCAACTTTGATAGAGATTATTGGATTGAAAAAGGAAGCAGCAAACTGCAACATATGAATAGTGATTATTTGTCTTCAAAGAAAATTTACGAAAACGAAAATAAGTCACGATACTGCCATAAGTCATTTTTCACCTATTAACATAAACTAACGAATACTCACGCCAGAGTCTGGTTGAGTTATTCGGAAACCAAAGGACGACTTTTCTGTTTTGTTTGCAAAGTTACGAATTCAGATAGTTCATCACCACGGTTTACGAAAGACAAATTAGATGATTGGAAGAATGCGCACAATTTGTTGACAAGACACGAAGAAAGCACTCCGCATGGACAAGCCATAATTTCGCTGTTAAACCTCAAAAACACGAATAACCGTGTTGATTCACAACTTGTGAGCTAAATTGAGACTGAGCAAAAGTATTGGAGGCTACTCTTAAAACGAATCATTGCAGTAATAAAGTTTTTAGCAGAACGAGGTCTTACGTTTCGGGATAGTGACGAAATTGTTGGTTCACCTCACGATGGAAATTATTTAGGCTTGTTAGAATTAATAGCCCAATTTGACTCTTTTATGGCTCAACATATACAAAATCGTGCTAATAAAGGGAAGGGGTATGCGTCATATTTATCAAAAACAACTTGTGAGGAATTTATTCATCTAATTGCAACAAGCATACTGGGTCAAATTATTTGTGAAATTAAGTGATGCAAATACTACTCAGTTTCATTGGATTCTACTCCAGATATATCGCATGTAGACCAACTGACTCTGATAGTGTGCTATGTTCTGCCATCTGGACCAGTGGAAACATTTGCTAAGTTCCTTAGTTTACGGTAAAGCTCGTCAGAATTCAAATCTTGTAGCTCAAATTTATCGCGACAGATTTCGCCAACGGGTACACCCAGACAGAAGGACATTTGTGCAAGTGTACCATAGACTTGGAGGTACAGGAAGTGTTCGGCCCACTAATATTCGAACTCGTAAAAGACAGGTTACTGTAGAGCAGGAGAAACAAATTTTAAATATCGTGGAAATCAATGCAGATATCAGCACTCGGGAATTACGCCGCCGCATAGGACTATCGCATACCATAGAATCCTACGGGAAAATTTGCTTTATGCCTACCATGTACAACGAGTGCAGGCCTTATTACCAGAAGACTATCCTCGCAGACTAACATTCTGACAGCGGTTTTTGCACTGGACGAATGTACTTTTACGCGAGACGGGATATTAAATTTCCATAATACTCACACGTGGGACCAAGAAAATCCTCATACCATTCGTGAAGGTCATTTCCAACAACGTTTTAAAATAAATATTTGGCGGGTATTCTTGACGATCAGGCAATTGGCCCTTTCGAGTTACCCCCAAAGTTGTCAGGAGAAGGATACCTTAGCTTTCTAGCCAATAACCTACCAGAACTTTTGCAACAGACCTTAGACAACATGCCATTACAACGGAGACAGAATTTGTGTTTTCTTCATGACGGGGCACCACCACACATTTTTAGAGGCGTCATTCAGTATTTGAATGAACATTATCCAAATCGCTGGATCGGTCGAAATGCTCCTGATCCTCGAAAATGGCCAGCAAGATCTCCTGACCTCAATCCGATGGATTTCTGGTATTGGGGAGAACTTAAAGGAATGGTTTATGGGGCTGGTCCAATAACAACTGAAGCACAACTTCGCGAAAAAAATGTTAATGCGGATGAAATAAATGGACAAGTTCGAGGACCTAGAGTAAGAAGAAACGTCGTAATGAAGCTTGTGTGGAAAGTGGAGGAGGACATTTTGAACACCTTCTTTAAATACAAAAAAAGTGCAGTGTGGGCTTTAAAAAGAATAACAATTGTGTTCCCTATTTATAAGTGGATTTTTTAATACGTTCAATAAACTTTCACACATCAGGTGAAGCGCTGAGACAGTTAGTGGTAAGTCCGTTTTTTTTTTAATTGTTTGCATTTTACGAGTACATCAAATAATGAAATTATGCCTAAAAGCCAAAAATAACAAACTCCATCTTTATTTACACTGCGTTCCGTCGTAATTGGCGTCTGGCATTGCGGCGTTCTCACATTTTATTTTACTTTAAAAAGTGAATAAGGAATTGGTCCAAGAACCGAACCCTGAGGGACACCCGCTTTGATGGGCCGTGTTGTCGACAAAAAGTTATTAATAGTGATCTGAAATTTCCTAACCTCAAGGAAGGATTTCAAAAGTTTTAGGAGCCAGAAGAGGAACCTCTTATGGATCAATTTGTAGAGGGGGTCCTTGTGCCACACCTTGTCAAATGCCTTTGAGACATCCAGAACCAAGATGCCAGTAGGTACTTTCGTTATGGGTGAATACCCTGGTTACTCGTTCAACAAGCCTATCCGCCTGTAACTCCGTATTAAGCTCAGACCAAAAGCCAAATTGCTCGTCAGAAATCAGATTATGCTCTGACGATAAATTTTCAAGGTGTCGTAGAATCACCTTTTCAGCGAGCTTAGGTATAACTGACAGTAGAATGGGACGATAATCTTAGAGTTTACTTAACCCACCTTCGCCGCTAGGAAGTACTGGGTTCTTAGAATGGCAGTGATTATTGCCACGCCATAAATTAAGGACTTCCGCGAAAGCAGCTTCAGCGCCTTATTAGAGATTCGATCCTCTCTAGGTAGGTACTTTACGCACCTTGAGTTCTTTAATATGAGCTTAAAGCTCTGGTGATGTGCAATGCGAGATCTCAGGAGATTCCGCTGATATGTCATGCAACTCTTCAGCTGAGGAATCTTCTGAAGACTCCTCAGAGGAAAAATTACTAAAGGAGGCGCTACTGCCACTGACGCCGTTGGCCCTAAGATATCTCCTGACGGATCTTACAAGGTCATTATCAAGGTCATAGTTGGTAGAAAACTGTTTTTCTATTGCATCAGCGAACGCCTTGACCTTTTCCTCTGTCCTAAAGACTGTGCCTCCAGGACCGTGGATGTGCGCGAGTTGTTCTCGCTTTTCGTTGGAACAGCTTTGCAACTTTCCAGAGAGAAACACTTGAGTCAAGCATACCCGACATAAAGTCGCTCCATTGCTCATTACGAAATTCATGAAGAGCATTTGTCACTTCACGAACAAGATTCGTCGCTCTGCGAATGTCATCTGGATGACAAGACATCTTCGCTTGCTTAATTGCAGCTCTTTTGTACGAAATTTTCTGAGGAATGTCTACAGAGAACCTATATAATGCCTTAAAAGAACTTACAGAATGTCAAAAAACACGAAATAATGTCACTTTTCAACTTACGCAATACCCCTGCCGCATGCTCTAAACGTTAAAGAACGAAGTTTAAGCAATTTTTACTTTTTCTCTGCCGCCACTGGGGCGATCCACAAAGACTACAAAGCTTTTGCGTCCTTGGCATAGTAGTAACATTGTGCAAAAATATGATCGAAATCCGAGCGGTACTTCTCAAGTTATAGATGGTTATAAGATTAGAGGACAGACCGCCAAGCAGATAGACTGACGGAAATAAGTGACAGTTTCTCGTGGGCTGATAGTACACCCAATTTGGAACACGTTAAGCAACATATCCCTCAGTACAAAAACGAAACGTTTTTGAAATACGCAAATTTTTTGTTTACTGGATAGTTTGATTTCGCATAGCTTCGTCGCTTTTCGAATGAAGTTATGGAAGAATTTGAATCAAAATTACAAAAAACTAAAAAAAATGTTTTAAGAACATTATTAATTTTCTCAATAACAAAACGTGAATCCTTATTTCTTATGCATTTTCCGACCCTTTAGTCTTGTATTCTTGTAGTAGTAGTTAGTTTGTGTGTGATTTGGCTATATAGTACCGTGTGTAGCTTGCTGATACATCTTCCTGGCCCCCCTTGATGGCCTCGGTTATATTTCTGTAGTTTTTTAGAGGGAATCTTCAAAGAAACTCTGTCAGTTCGCAATACATTCAGCCTTCAGAGCTGTTTTTCAGTGCCTCATTTGTGTTACTTGGAGTAACTCGGAGCTACCCACCATCTGTCAATACCGTTCCAGTGCTCTATACCCTATTTTACGAGTATCCATCTCAGTAGAATGATAGCTGGTTATCTAGTAACATTTCAAAATTCCCCATATTAGCAAAGGAAACATAATTTTGACAGAACAATCAATGCCAGGTGGACGGAACCATATTTTGTTTTGGTTTTTTGTACGCTACAGATTCATTCTGTACTTTGTAAAAGCTCTTTTATTTAGAAAAGTTCGTTTGCACAGAAAAAAAAACGCTACAAATATTTTTTTGCTAGACTAACACAAAAATGTCACTTGCTCATCAGCTGTTCACCGCAGTAGGCGTCAAAGCGTGATGGAAACTCGTGAAGTAAGGTATAGAATGTCATGCACCTGAGCTAGTCATTTTTGAAATCCCCTGCCCCTCGTGCACCAGCTTTTTATTCGGTGTTATACGCTCCGAAATAGTGGGGATAACCAAAATTACAATGTGTCAAGATTGTTAGGTGATGTTTTTTCATCGTTTTTGTTTTTTTGCATTAAACACACTAAACTGATACCAGACAATGGAAGATGGTAAATATGACCTAGAGTCACAACCTACATTTGAGACGTTCCTGAATAATGAAGATCACAAGAGAGTGCAAGAATGCAGTTTCATAGCGGCTTGTAGTTGGCTTCATCTATAACAAGACACTTTGAAAATAATTTTGAATGTCTACACTAAAATATGAATTCGACACATTTATCCAGAAGCTTCACAATAAAAATGCAGACCTCTGACGTGTTGCGCTTTCATTCTAAAAGCCTCATCAGGCATCAATTGGATAGTCTGACAATGCTTCTGAAAATAAAGGCAAAATGTGTTTACATTTTCATTGCTAGTTCAGTGTGAT